CCTTTTATTGTGCTCAACTTTCTCAATCCCGTTGAGCACAATGATTTAGGACACGCCAAATTTAAAGCCTGTGAAGTCCCACAGTGAGAACATTTACAGCTGCAAATTAGGTGTGAGCCTAAAAGCTCTGCTAAACTGGGACCAGAACGGCCAGTAGTTTGCAGCCAAAGCCCTACAACAGAGGCTAAGAAAAATTTGGTTTGCAATAAGGCAAAAGCCCCCTAAGCTGAGGAAATCAACTGTTCCCGTGGAATAGTCAGAGGGATATTTAGGGCTGCACCCTCTGTTCCTTGCCTGACCCACAGCCCACCCCTGTGCAAACAGGGCGTCTTCCAGATTCAAAGGCAGCAGTCCTTGGCAGAGCCCAGAGCCCAACAAGGCAAAGTTAAAGTGCATGTTCCCAGTGCATCCTTCCCCAAAAAAACAGCCAGTTATCAGAATGACAATGGGACTCTGTGTCTCCATCCCAGACCTGGGATCAGCATCGGCTAATTCGTACCTCAAAGCAACAAGCTGCAAGAAAGAGACAAGACCCACAATTGCATCTTTTTGTGGCATGCCCATTTCTACCAAATTAGGGACTGATGCTTTGTAATTGCAACCAATAAACAAGCAAGTGAAAAAAAAATAATCAGCCTGCAGTTAGATATATGTCAAATTTGCAGCTTTATTGCATACATGGCCCTTTGCTTGTCCAGCTCTGTCTATCCCTCAGCTAACCCCACTTCTCAAGGAGCTGCACCAAGAGCTCTCAGATGCCTATACGGAGCCACTCCAAATGCTGGGCTGGGACTACTCCCACTTCTCAAGGAGCTGCACCAAGGGCTCTCAAATGCCTATACTGAGCCACTCCAAATGCTGGGCTGGGACTACAAGAGTCAGGTGAAGTGGTATTTCATCCCCCACTTCAGGTCCTCAGCATTCTTCCAAATCCTGGTAGGGATATATCCCCTGGCTTTTTATTCCAGGGACTGGAATATTCTGTAGACCCTTCAGCTTTACCATTCATGCTGCAAAATCCCCTTGTCATCCTGCAATATCAACAACATGCCCCAACTCCGGGGGTCTTGCTAGTGCAAAGCGATCCTTAGAGACTCACCACTGTCCGTGCACAGGGCTACGATAAGCACGACAAGAAGAGACGTCTTCATCCTTTATACGTCTTGCAGCCTCCAAAACAAGCAGGACTCACCCAGGGCAGGTTTTATACCTCTGCAATGTTTGCTTTGGATCTAGGATAATAACTACAGGGTTGCTGTGTCAGATGTTGGATAATTGAGAGTAACATGTCAGTGCTTGTGTGTGGAAGTATTCTTTGGAGGAAATCTAAATAGGCGTATACTCTCCCCCCACTTCTTTTCCTAGCTGTTTCACAATACAACTTGTTCATCTGGTGTTAATTTCCCAACAGTTTCTAATTCTGGAGAAGTGGAGGAAAAGCAAAACACAAAAACAAAACAGTGATCATGTAAGAAGAGGAATGTTTTCTTTTCCAGGCCAGCTTGGGTCTCAGAGCAGGCTGCATCCTTGAAGATCCTGTCTTCTCATACTGTTTTAGCGCATATGGAAATTGATCCAATTTGAAATCGAAATTGGGATTGAAATTTCTACAAAATGTCTCCCAGGATTGTCAATGCAGCTAGATGACAAGAGCACTATCCTTCCTCTGCATTTCATAGGGGACCAGACATGATTTTCTGTGGGCCTTTTTAAGACTGCTGTTCAAAACCATAAATGTTTCTGCTCAAGAACTGGAAATTTTATATGAGGGGAAATGTTGTCTTACTGGAAAATAAATTCCACTGGGCAATGAAAATGACCACTTAAATTAAAAAGTATAAATAACACTTTAAGCAAGCTGTGAATTTTTTCACAAATTACAAAAAATAAAAGTCAGGAAGAAAAAACAAAAAACAGTTAAAGCACAGAGAGTGAGGGGTTGCCTGATCAAGGATCTCAACTCATTAAGTCTTCAGAAAAAAAAATTATTGCCAGCCAAAATTACGTGAAATGCCGAATAGGAATACTCCACTGTATTTCCATACAGTGCTTTTCATTCCTCCTTTTTAATCGTGTTTCATCCTATCTCCCTGTATAAAATCAGTATCTTTCCCATCTCGTTCTGACTGTTGTTGCTTTTACCTCCCACCGTTGTCTTTCTGCCATCTAGTCATGGGGATGGAGGCACAGTCCCAGAAACGGCCCATCTGGATCCCTTTCACATGACACTCAGAGCTGCAGGAGCAACCTGTGTGCCCCAAGCCTCTGCCAGCAACTCTGCCCCTTGCTGCTCTCCACCTGTTTTGTTTTCCTTTTTTCTTAATAACAAAGTTGCTCAGATTTCCCAGTCAATATTTGGGCTTCCAGTACGACCCACCTACAGTCATTATCTCATCGAAAAGGCATTCCCTGTTCTTGAGGTGATGTAACTCTTTCCAAAACCTCTAAATTGGATGCATAAATATTGTTAGTATGGAGACCTGTGTGACTAAGGTGAGGAAATTTCTGCTTTCTCAATAGGTAGAGCATGAAGCTCAGTTGGAATAGAGGTGGCAATTAACCAAGCAAGCTCAAAGGAGGGGCGTTGTTCGGCTTCGTAAGGCCAATGCCTGTGTAAGGCACCAGGCAGGAGGAAAACAGAAGCTGGCACCCTCCATGCCAGGAACTGCAACCCTCTCTTCTTTGTGAAGTATTTCATTTTCCCCAATCCAGAAGGGATTTCATGAGTCTTTATTGGTAAATCAACTTTATTGCTGACTGTCTGAGGTAATGGCAGAAAAGTGGGCTCTTGTCACAAGGCGATGCCATTCTGCAGCCCGTACGTTACACTGCAGAGGCAGCCCACATTCAGATTTATTTAAGCCAACAGCATCCATTAACAGGTACAGAAATAGCAGCTCAGCCGGGCACTTTTTTTTTCTTCCCTTCCCTTGTAGTCTCATCCAAGCAAAAACTAAAATATCTCTTGTCGCCTGCAAGCTCCTGAGATTTTGAAATGGCAATGCTGTATTGCTTAAAGGAGTTATTGCAGGATTTCTGATAGTCAAGATTTTCCATTAGATGGTCCTGCAACTCTTCCAACTGGTCCCACGTGCCCCTCTGATGTTAATGTTATCTTCATCCCCCACCAGTGTCAGGTGAGATAGATTGAAAAGGACCCAGGGGGGTAGAAAAGACACAGGTGATTAGAACACCAGAAGGACAGAAGGAGAAGACATTATCTCAGTTGACAAGTATTTGGAAGTCATGAACTTCAAGGAGATTTTGGAAAGAGTAACAGGGGAATTAACTGGGGGTGGAGGATGAGAGGGGAAGACTTATTTCCCTTGACAGAGTTGCAGAGTGGAGAAGGACAGAGAGTGTTTCGTTCATCTTGTTCTGAACCTGGTTGAAACTGTCACGTGAGAAGGGCAAACAATTTCTTTATTTTGATGAAAACATGTACTTTTCATGAAACAAAGGCTGAAATTTAAAAGTAACTGTGGTGCTTAATTCAAATGCTTTTACTAAATGTGGATTTTCAAGTTGGCCAAAAGCTTTGGAAATCATTTCAGAAATTACTGTGATTAATGCATAGGAAAAGTGATGGGAAAAGTGATTAAAAAGTGCAAAAACCCAAGCTTCTGTTGGTCCCTCAGCACAGAAATGCCATAACCTTCTTCAGCTGGCCCATCTTGTATTTAAATAAATGCTAGGACACCCTCATTGCTCTTACAATGAGGGTGTAAGAAATTAAATCTTTACAGGATGATTAAACAGAATCCAATCTTTACAGCCTTCAGCCAGTGCTGTGGTTTCTCCCTGTTGCACAGAAGCACATGCACTTTGCAGCCTGTTTTCAGTGCTGGTGGAGCAGGACTCCCCTCAAATCCAGCTGGGCTGCAAACTTGAGGGCTTTTTTCCAGGTGCCATTTCTATACAAGCTCATCTGAAATGCAGTGCTGCACTTGTAAGCTGCTTAGCTGGGAATTACACATCCTCCAGCTCCAAGAGTGCATGTATTTTGTCGTCTTAGCTATTGCTTTGCTCTTCCAAGAGCTGCAGGGGATCTCCACCCCATCTGCTCCATCACTGAGCCTAGAAATGTAGCAGCAACAGAGTAAAGGGAAGAAGCAGAGAACTCCTGACCAGATCAGCCACCCACTGCCTCTGCCAGGCTCTTTCTGCCCATATTTCCCTTCCCTGCAGGGAAGTCATGAGCAATCACTCGGACAGCATCATCTTCCCCAGGCAGGCACAGAGGGCCCCTTTCCATAAGCACTGCTTCCAGGAGCACCGTCTTCATCTTGGACATCTCCAGCATCTTGGTGCAGGATCTTTACCTATTTTAAAAGCTGAAAACATCCACTCTGGAGAGATCACACAAGAACTTTGCAGCACAGCCAGGGGCACAACCAATACCTGCCAAAACCCTAGTTCTGAGTGTTAGCAGTTACACAACAAATCTCACTGTTGCTTGCAACCAGAGCAACACAAACGTCTTTGACCTTTCCAGATTGACACCTCCATTTGTTAGTGCTGAGTGATCAGGCAGAACATCTGGCTTTATGGAGTGTCTGTCTTGAGCTGTTGGATGCAACTGAGTCAGTCAAGAAAGGCAGCCAGGAGAAGACTCCCAGGTGCGGAAGGAACGAGGAATTCAGTGCAAAGTAGAAATTCAGACTACAGCCCTTTCTGGCGGAGCTGTTTTTTCAGGCTGATCTTAGCATGGATATAGCAAATACACTCTAGAATAACATAAATCTTTATTTTGTCTGACGATTGTCACACACATGCTATCAAAAGAGCTTTCCCAGGGAAAATTCGTACAAAACAATGAATGATACAGGGGAAAAAATAGGAGCTACACTGCTGTGCCATTTTGTGGATGGGATCTGAATCAATGTCTTGGAACAAGCAGGTTAGCATAGACCCTGTTAGAGATACTTGACAGAGAGTATTGGTTTCTCAGTTAGGGAATACCTTGTTGTTTCTTGGGTTGTCACATCTTCTCCCACCCCTCACCACAATCCTGCCCTGGTGACACAGATCAAACTGGCCACAATTCCCAGGAACATCACGGCATAGCTGGTTTTTATGCTGTTGGCACCACTGAAATTGCACAAGGAGGTACTACAGCATTTGGTGGAAAAAGCCGCCACACCGAAGTTCACATTCGTCTCAGGACAGTCTACAGAACATTTCTTGGTGATGCGGTATCCCACGTCCTTGCCTGGATGGAGAACAGACAAGAAAGGAGAGCCATAATTTAAGATACTTCTGCAAGAGCTGATCAGAGGACAACAGGAGGAGGTATGTTGCACTATACTTAATTTGCAATGCAGCAATAACAGCTATCAGTGGATTTGATGACTGCTGGGTGAGTATCCACACAATCTGGACCAAATGCATGACCCTAGCAAGTCCTTGATAGAAATCCATACCATACCATACCATAGGACAGCAAAAAAATCACTTCCAACCCATTTCCAGTTTCTAAAACCACACTACTTACACCCAACCTCTTTCTATCCTCCATCACCAAGCATATGTGCGAGCTCTCAAATCAAGCAACAGGGTCTGCTCATGAAAATATCTGTGCTCCAGCCAGCCCTGCCACAAGGTGGTGAGGAATGTACACCAGGTGGTGGATCACAGAGCACCACTGAGGGATTCACAGAACCACAGAGTCACAGAATGTTAGGGGTTGGAAAGGACCTCTGTGGGTCTCCTAGTTCAGCCCCCCTGCCAAAGCAGGGTCACCTACAGCAGGCTGCACAGGAACGCGTCCAAGCAGGTCCTGAATATCTCCAGAGA